ATTGATGTGGTTTTTATGTTCTCTCTTTTGACCTCAGGACCCCAAGTCAAATTCTGTTATTTTGCTAGTTATCTGGAGATGCCTAAAATTCTGGGGGCCGTCGGAAATGTCACATTTTTGTGCCCTGATCTGCGATTTCAGATCACCCAAATTCTTGCAATCCTCATAATTTCGTTTGAATTTTAAGAATTCATTTTATTCGTGCACAGTTTTCTTTTTTGCTTATTAAAAATCCTGTATCATATTGTTTTACTCTCGAATAATAGTGATAATTGTGTTTCGAGTTACATTTGTCATGTTGTATTACTTTTTCAAATTAACATTAAGTTTAACCTGCCATACCTGTACAGTAGTTACTAATCGATATAAGTTGTATTCTTAATATTTTTTTGTGTTGCTGTTTCAAATTAACATAAGTTTAACCTGCCATAGCTGTGTATAGTAGTTACTAATCCATATATGTTGTACTCATAGTATTTTTGTGTTACTGTTTCAAACTGACATAAGTTTAACCTGCCATACCTGTACAGTAATTGCTAATCGATTGTACTCGTAATATTTTTTTTTTGTGTTACTGTTTTAAATTAACATAAGTTTAACCTGCCATACCTGTATAGTAATTACTAATTGATATAAGTTGTACTCGTAATATTTTTCCGTGTTACTGTTTTAAATTAACATAATTTTAACCTGCCACACCTGTATTTTAATTGTTCCTCATCGTGATATAAGCCTGTAACTCGTTATGTTGTTTTACCGTTTTCTAGTCACCGTAAGTGTTGTACTTACTTTGTTGTGTTACTTTTTTTTGCTAAGTCGGTATATAACGTACAGTTGGCAACAAGCCAAGTCATTTTTGCTCGTTTACTAGAGATTCGACAATAATAACTGCATCTGGAGTTGTTGCACTCGCCGTGTATTGTTTCACTATTTTCCAATGGGCATAAATTGTACCTGCCGTGTTTTGTGTGTTACGAGGTTTCTGATCGGCATAACATGCGGCTGGCAGTTTTCGTTGACTAGATTCCACGCTAATAACTGTTTCCAGAATTATACTGTTGTTTTTTAATAACGTTCGGCTGGCAGCCCTGCCATTCGTTCTTTACTGCTTGATTTACCTGTTTGTTCAATGCTGTCGCTGACAGTAACAGCTTTATATCGGCTTCAAAGGATGTCTTACAGCAAGCCATTTCGCTCACACTTTTTGTACTTTTCTGCGTAACTTATCATAAAATTGCATTTTGAAACGATCATGTCAGTGTGTGTATATATATGTATGTGTGTGTATGTGTGTTACGTTTGTGTATGTCTGTGCGTGCGTGTGTCTGTGTATGTGTGTGCATGTATGTGTGTGTGTTTTTGTTTGCGCGTGTGTGTGTATGTGTATGTGTTTGAGCGTCTTCGATGTTTGTTGGCCGTTATGCTGCGCCTCCAG